TAATAATAATGATGATGATGATGATGATGATGATGATGATGATGATGATGATGATGATGATGATGATGATGAAATTCCAACTAGTCTGAAGCACTTATGAGCACTTATCCAAAGAAATCCAGTCGATGCCTAGTGAGAACAAATAAGCCTGCAGCCACCACTCCATTGTTCCTTCTGCCAGAACAGAATGCTGTGTTACAGTCTGGAATAAGAGAGTGACAGAGAAAGCATAACCTCCAGCTACAGTTTTAATTTTTTCTGGGTGGGGGGAAATCCTTGAGGCTGCAGCCCTACGGGCATTTTAGGTTGAAGTAAACTCCCCTGTGCAGCGTGAGCTGCTTGAGTGCAAAGTGGTTGTCATCAGAACTACCCCCAGTGTGTGGTGAAAGCTTAGTTAGATTGTTTGTTGCTGCAGCTGCCAATGAAAACCTTAAGGCACCTTCCTAAGAGATTTATTATAGCAGAAATCTTAGTAAACTAGAGGCCATGGGCCCTACCACCACAAGACATCTGTCCATCTTTAAGGGGGCTCAGGACTCTTGGTTGTATTGTTAGCCGCTTCTGACACAATGGTTAGCATAGTGCCTTCTTCTAAAAAGGGGGGGGGGCTTCCACAGGGCAGTAACATCCTGGCTTTTGCAGAGATCTGAACTCAGAGCCTAAAAGAGATCCAAAACTGTGCTGGACTTATATAGAAAGGCAACTGTGAAGGTTTGTTTTGTTTTGTTTTGTTTTTGCTATTTCACTCCTTGGTTGGTTGTGCTTTCCTCACTCTCCATTGAAACCCCTGTAGAGTTCTGACCAGTTTGTGAAATGCAGCCTTAGATAAGGACCAGCCATTGGGGCAAGGAGAAGGAATCTAAGATTCGTCTCCTCTGAGAGCTAGGCTCTTTCGCTCTCATTCCTTTCTCAGAGGACTAAGTCCAATCAATCCTGCAGCCTCCAGAGCATCTGCCTGGCGTCCAGAAGACTGTCAGCGAAAGAAGTTACAGATCTTCTGTTTGGCTGTCATCAAAAGTAAACAGGACGATGGCCAGTGCCCACCATTTTGGTCTACAGGTTAGACCAGTGTTTCCCAAGCTTGGGTGCCAAGATGTTCTTGAACTAAAACTCCCAGAAGCCTTCACCACTCGCTGTGCTGACCAGGATTTCTGGGAATTATAGTCCTAGAACATCTGGGGACCCAAGCTTGGGAAACACTTCACTAGACCATACAGGTGGGCAGATGTACCCTTCCTCAAAAATCTGCATCTTGTCAAAGTACAGAAGAGCACTTTCTGCCCCTATTCTTTAAGAGAACCAGGGCAGCTACCGCAGTATTAGGCCAGAATCCTGGCATGTAAGAGCAATCAGTGTTCCTCCCTACCTCTGGCAAGCAAAATGATTTTCAACCAGTGCAAGAGCAGAGCACATGAAGGAAAGTCTCTGGGCAGGATATGGGGGCCACTTAAGCAATTTTCTGTCCCTTCCACGTACCTTGAAGAGGATTCTAGCCTTAATTTTATCTCAGCAGGTAGATGTGCTCTCCTCCAAAATGAACGGGACTATTCCTTCAGTTTTCTTAATACAGAATCCATCAAGGAGCATTGGAATGGGCAGGCTTTGCCAAAGGAGAGCTGCCAGGCTTTTCCTTTGTAACTAGGAGAGGCCAAGTTCAGCATCAACGGCTAACGCCCGACGGCAGAGAGAGCACCAGTGCCAGAAGCAAAAGCTGCCGTGGCCTTCCCTTCTTCTTCTTCTTCTTCTGTTTTTTTTTTAAACTGAATCAACCTGCTCCATTTTCTGCCTAATAATCTCCTTTCTGACCTCACTCTCCTCCACATATTGTACAAAGCGTCTTTTTTTTTTCTCATATAGCAGCCGTGAAAGCCTTTCAAATACCAAAGAGTGGTCCTGAAAATGGATGTTGAGCAAGGTTTAAATTATAAGTGAGACGCTGGGTTGTGGGGAGTGGGGACACACACACACACACACACACACACACACACACACACACACACACGAGAGAGAGAGAGAGAGAGAGAGAGAGAGAGAGAGCACTAACATTCATACCAACACAGGCCTTTGTGTCTGCATTTGATCAGCAGGGCAGAAAGAAAGCCTTTTGCTTTAAAGAGAGATGGTTGTTGCATTTTTCATGTATAATAACTCCCTGTAACAGGAGCACCACATGCCAGCTTTAAAGGGGGAAATCTATTTTTAATCTGTAGTTAGGGGTCATTAAAGCAAAGGGATTCAGTTTGAACGTTGCCAGGATGAGGATGATGCATAGACTTAGGCTTGGTTCAGTGATAAGCAAAAGGACTGCATTTTCATGCAGGCAAAAAAAAAAGGTTAGGAACAAACAATATCTGCCGGATAGCTCAGTGGTCTAGGTATTCTTCTGAGGAGCCAGCAGTTGGAAGTTTGGTTCCCCGCTGGGCCTCCTTGACAGGGGCTGGACTCAGTGATCCATAGGGTCCCTTCCAGTTCTGCAGTTCTAAGATGATGATGATGATGCATGGGGAGAATGGGAGTTTTGCTAGATGACATGGATGTGACAGGATCCCATCTGGAAAGGAGAAGAATGCAGCATTCCCATTCCTCTTCATGGAACTTCTGTCTTTGGAAAGTACCAAAGTAAAGGGTGGCCACCAAGGGAAGTGCTGCGTTCTTCATTGGGCATGGCTCATCTTCTGGAAATAAACAATAATCAGAAGTGACGTGTTCAGAAAGCAAAACCTTCCCAGTATTGAGATCAGGCAGTGCTGAAATTCTGTCACATTCACTTGGGTGTAACCAGCATTGAGCTGAGCGGGATGTGCTCCAGAGTAAGCATCCACAGCGTCAAACCGGAGCTTTGCTGAAGTAAAGAAACATCCGAGGGTCACCCCATTGCCTGCGCCTATTGTGCTCTTACCTGTGTAGATATGTATATCTGGCTTGATATGATGCTCGCAGAAATGAGATCAAGCCAGTCAAGAAGAGGTCTGTAGCATACACTTTTTAAAAAGGGCATTTGCAGAGTACAGTTGTGCTAAATTGATTCCGATGTCCTCATCCACTTGAGATGGCTAACACACACAAAGGGACATTGTGATGCAGTTCGAGTGGCTACATGCAACAGGAAGAAAGAATGTTTTTAACCTTGCATCTGTTCCGATCGCATGTAATTGGCATCCTTCACATGGCACTCCTACTTAGTGCATCTCTTTCATCTCTTCCGCTAAGCGTCCTCTGCCTGATTGAGGTTCATTACGTTATTCCTCCTGTCAAATGACATGTAATGATGATAAGTGAGCCTTTCCTGGAATTAGATGGTTCTCTTGCCCTGTGGATAGCAACCTTTCTCCATTTGGAGGGTTCCAAGGAAAGAAACAATGAAGCACCTCTGTTGAGCTAATTTACATGTTTGGCCTTCTTGTATAGCCAACATGATTAATAGCCTCATCGCAGGCAGAAGACTAGGCAGGGAATGAATGAGCAATGGCTTGTAAGTACTTTGTACTATTTAGGCTAAAGTCGTATATTCACTAGCCGGGGAGAAAGCCCAGCTGAGATCACAGAGACGGGTGTATCTGATCACACCTTTAATCTATTCTAATCTTTAGACTTACTCAGTACTTGAGTTAATATTGTTTCCGTGACTTTTTTTTAAAGAACAATTTACATTTATTACTGTTTCCAACTCTGCATTAAATTAACATAAATTAACAAAATTGGTGGGGAAAGGAATAATGCAGGCAAGAAAATAGCATCCTATTTTTTAAAAAATTAAACACGTGTTTAAAAGTTTGTGTTGTTTCATGGGCACATGGCCAAAAGCATTGGGGAATGTTTTGCATATATAAGGTACCGGGTTCTATCACTGACATTCCAGTTGAAAGGATCTGAGAATCAAAGTAAGCATTCAGCGACGTGTGCTTTTCTCACTTCTAAAATATGTTGCCTCCAGCCTGCCATGCATATCTCTGTTGTGCTTCTCTCAGCAGACATGCAAAGGAAGCCAGTGTTTACATTCCAGTGATCAGTCATGCTTCTTGTCCTTTTACATGCTGATGTCTTTTGCCACTTGCTGGAGCACTGCTTCTAAATAAGGGATCAGTGTCTTGTCTAGCTTTGCCCTTAGACAGCAGTGTCAATTAAAACAGGCAACAGCTGGTTGGATTATTAATTTGATTCTAGCCCTCTTCTGGCATTCAAAGCCGGGTGAATGCTCATGCACAGAGGAGAGGCCATGACTGTAGCCCTGCCTCCTCCATCCCCGGTTCCAGCACTCTCTTACACATGGAGGGTGATGAATCTTAAAAGGGACAGCCTCTGCTGTCTGTGGTGTTGTGCTAAATTGAACCAGAACACTAATTTTCTAGGATTCCAGCTCACATGACGAGCCCTACAGACAGCTGAGGCTGTCCCTCTTCAGACATGTGATCCTTCATGTGTAGGAAGAGAATGGAAGTGATGACGCAACAGCCAAGACTTGAACACTCTTCCCTCATGTGTATTCTAGCCAGTTTTCAACACCATAATTGGGCTTATGTTACAGAAAATGTGTGTGTGTGTTCATTTGGTGAGGGGATGATTACTGTTTATATTCAGCAGGTGGTCTCACTCGCCTGGAGGCTTCATTAATTCACATGTGTTAAACGGTGAAAGAAATCCATCTGCTGAAGTAGCTTGCAAAAACTCGCATGAAATGAATGTGTCGCAATCAAATGAAGCAGGAAAACCAGTTGATAAGGTACAATGTGCCTTCTAGGACACGGCCTTCATATTAGTACATGATGTTTTCTCATGGATGGATGGATGGATGGATGGATGGATGGATGGATGGATGGATGGATGGATGGATGGATAGTTTTAAAACACGTGATACAGAATAATTCAATCTCAGGCTGAATAGATGGATCATTATATATGTTGTTGCTTTGCCAGAATTCTGGATTCTGCCACAGGATCATCTGCAATGCCTGCTTCATTTTTTGCTGAAGCAGTGAGAAAAAGTCATGTGTACCTTGAAATTGAAAAATGAAGTATTTGATTTGCAACAGTCTCTCCTTACCAGTGGAGTTTTGCTGTGGGATCACAGCAGTCAGCAGCCACCACTAGCTGGAAAGTGGGAGGGCCACAAGACAAAGTCTCTTTTTTTCATGCAGTAGATCCTGGGTGCAATCCCCAACATCTCCAGGTAGAGCTGGAAAACACTGGCCTGAAACACTAGGTAGCTACTGCTAGTCACTGTTGATAATACTGGCCTAGATGAAGCAATGCCCTGACTCAACACAAAGCAGCATTTTTACCCTTTAGGAGTAAATAAGTACCTGGTGTGGTGTAGATGTCAGAGTAACAGACCAGAATTCAGGACACCACTGCTGTGACTCAACACAAAGCAGCATTTTTACCCTATAGGAGTAAATGAGTACCTGGTGTGGTGTAGATGACAGAGTAACAGACCGGAATTCAGGACACCACTGTTGGAATTCCCACTTGGCCATGAAAACCCACTGGGGAAGTGGAGCTCATCAATCCAGTCTTAATATTTTTCACTTTCCTTGAAAACCCAATTAGGGTCAGTTTCGACTTGACGACACATAACTAACTAATGGGACGAAAGCAAAACAAAGCAAAAGGTGCTGCTTATATATTCCCCCATCGTGCTTAAAGCTGTCTCTGAGCAGTTTATAATTTAATTCTGCTGGCTTCACTTTCCCCCTCTCCAATGAGGTGGGTACTCAATTTCCTGATCTCGGAAAGATGGGAGGCTGAGTCAACCTTGAGTCAGCTATCAGAGTCCAAGACTGAACTCAAGTCATGAGGAGAGTCTTCACTGCAGTACTTCAGTTTAACTGCCATGCCACTGTTCCCTTAGCTAGCCACCTGCTGCACCCCTCTGTCTCTCAGACAGAAGCAAGTGAAGTGAGAAGGGGGCCGATCAGAATGAAATCTGAGACCTCTGGTCCGGCTTCCTGCTTTTCACAGAACTGAGCAGAGGCCCTTGGAAGTCCCATAGGCAAGGTATGGGGGCAAGACCTGCCATCTCTCCTCAGCAGTTATCCACTCCCAGAAAGGATGCTAAGCATGTGAGCGCTGATTAATTTAGATCTCCAAGCTAAACCTTTACCAACTGAAATGACTGTGAGAAGGAGCTGCCCAAACAGAATGAAGAAATCATGCCAAATGACAGATTTCAGGTGATTGATGCTGTCATAAGGCATTGTGTCATCTTATTTTGTTATTTGCAAGGAGAGTTTATGAAGACAGCCGAGTCAAAACCTATCATGGAGAGTTTCTCAGCAGAGCAAACACTGGGAATGACACTGTTTATACATTGGAAAGGAAAGCCTTAAAGCTAAAGTAGAAAAGGGATACACGGTGTGGTGTAGTGCAGGGGTCCCCGACCCCCAGTCCGCGGCCTGGTGCCGATCTGTGGGCTTGCCAGGCCTGGGCCGTGGAGATGGGTCTCCACTCCCCTGCAAGCGCTCGTGGCAGGCGTGTCGCACTCATGGGAGGTGTGTTGCACTCATGGGGGCGTGTCACACTTGCACACATGCGTGTGAGTACAAAATGCCCACAAGTATGATACGCCCACCTGCAAGTGCAACACGACCTCCTGAGAGCGTGGGGGTACCCCTGTGCATGGAGCCCACCCCCACAACTGGTCCATGGTTCCAAAAAGATTGGGGATCGCTGGTGTAGTGGATAGAGTAACAAACTGAGACTCAAGAAGCCTGAGATAAAATCTCCGCTCATCTATGGAAACTCAGTGGGAGGACGTGAAACCGATGAAACCACTCCTTAAATTTCTCACTTGTAGCAAAAACCTTGTTAGGATTGCTATAAGTCAGTTCCAACTTGACACCACATAACAACAACAAAGCATATTCTGATTTTGGATTGACAGTCTCCCGTGCAAATAATTAGTCCACCAAGATACCATAAACATTGTCATCCTTAGGAGTTTAGCACAATAACTTTATGCACTTATTTGCTTATTGGGGGGCAAACTTTAATCAAAAATTAACATGAGTCATTGTTTTCTTCTTCCACTTAGGACCCTCCCAGTGGTCCTTGCCTTCGACTTTGCATATGAGCGATTCCTAAACCTTGAAGAAGATGCTGTCAGGCTATGTTTTGCAACAGGAAGAAGCAGTGAACTTCAATCAGAAGAACAACTCCCATGAGCCCAACATATATATCTATGCCAGCCCCCCTCTGTGCTTAGTGGTTAAAAAATATCCCACAACATCTGTAGTCTTTCTTTGTTTAGAAATGGTCATTACGACCCTGTGTGATTCAATTTATCAATGTTATAAAGGCAATTTGCACATGTCCTTCCTCCTTCATGACAGTTGCCTTTTCCAAGTGCCAAGAGTTCTTGTTTCAGTTCTACTGTCTTGGAGCCAAAAGTCTCAACAGAATTTGGAAGGGCAGAACGTGGAGATGGGAGAGAAAGACTAACCAAGGCCTCACATTGGAAACCCTGGAGTTGCTAGCATGTGATCCAGTTATTCTGACACTCGTGGAACAACGATACTAAAATACAACATGTTTATATCACTACAACACTGATAGTTTAGCACAAAGAATTCTAAAAATGGTAGACTGGAACAGGTGTCAAGATTTTTTCAAAAGATACCTACCTTCAAGTTCTTATACATTACACTACTCAAAGTGGACAGGGCCAGGTTAATCCATGTCGGTCTGTACATAGGGGGTAGCAGAATAACCCTAACCCACAGCCTGAGGTGGGAACAGAAATGCCACACACTCCACAATGCCACTGCTATGCTGTCCCCCATCCCTCCAAGCAGGACTGGTGTGGATGATGACACCTGAGCAGAGGCTTCCTTCACTAAATTGCTGTTTCCATCATCTGACTGCTTTTCAGCCAGCTATATGAATCATCTCTGACTCAAGGAGGGTCCTCAAGGCCGAGACATTGTGGGAAGGGCAGCCAATAAAAACACCTTTTCTCGTGGCCTGCTTGGCCTTCTCAGTGTATTGTGCTAAGACGCTCTACCTTATGCATTGAGCAAGTTGCACGTTAATGCATGAGCAAGCCCATTCTGCGCTGGTTGCATGCCTGTCTTTTTCCAGTTACCGCCAATGATACTTTTCCTTCCAGAAAAATCAGCCATGGAGATCCTCTCTGGAGGCAAAGGGTTAATCACCTCACTCCCCCTTCCCCAAACCGTGGTGAAAGAGATCCCACACAGAGACCAAGATGACCTTTGTGTAAACAAAATCCAGGCCCCAGTTGCCATGGCTTTCTTCACCTTAAGAAGGGAACAGTATAAGCAGTAGCCCAAATTCAGGTTCCCCCTCCCCCAATTATATAAAAAAGCTTTGCAATGAAACGGACGAAATTGATAGCATAATTGTTTACGAAGACCAGAATATTTTTTCAATAGACTTTTTGCTGCAGTAGAGATGCCATTGCCTCTGTCTCTGCCAACTTACTGTATATACACATGCTTTAGATGTTGGTATTTACATTATTTGTCAAACTAGGCCTGGTCGCACCTTTTCAGAACACGGCATGCTCAAGGACAGTGTTCCCTTTTTTTCCAACCGTGGTTGAAATTTAGTGGAAGATCAAAGAGCGTGTAAAACTCACCTCTGTAAGCCTGAGACAGCTGAGCTTGTAAAACGTGTGTGTGTGTGTGTGTGTGTGTGTGTGTGTGAGTGTGTGTGTGTGTGTGTGTGTGTGTGTGTGTGTGTGTGTGTGTACACCTAGTTTTCACAAAGATAGGGGGACAACATTAAAGAACTTTTATAGTTTGTAACTAAAAACAAACAAACAAAAACACTGGTAAGGCTAAAAAGCAAAGCCTTTGTTGAAATTTAAAGTTTCTCTTTCTCTCTTTTCCCCCCTTTAAAATATACAACAAAAATCCGGTTTGCTTTTGATGCTAACTAGTACACCCACTGCTCCTCAGTGTGTCCCTCCCCCATTCTACTTAGTAGTCCAGACCAGGGCCATAACTAGTGTGGGCCATCCGGGGCTTTGCCTCAGATTGCCAAAGTTTTTGTTGTTGTTTAGTCGTTAAGTCGTGTCCGACTCTTCGTGACCCCATGGACCAGAGCACGCCAGGCCCTCCTATCTTCCACTGCCTCCCGGAGTAGGGTCAAAGTCATGTTGGTCACTTCGATGACACTGTCCATCCATCTCATCCTCTGTCGTCCCCTTCTCCTCTTGCCGTCACACTTTCCCAACATTAGGGTCTTTTCCAGGGAGTCTTCTCTTCCCATGAGATAGCCAAAGTATTGGAGCCTCAGCTTCAGGATCTGTCCTTCCAGTGAGCCCTCAGGGTTGATTTCCTTCAGAATGGATAGGTTTGATACCTTTGCAGTCCAGGGGACTCTCAAGAGTCTCCGTTGTTTACAGAGTGTAAAAATCTGGCAGTGGTGGTGAAGATGTTTTTGTTGTTGCTGCTGTTGTGCCATTGTCGTTGGGCAGAATATCATGCTACAAACCAAGCCAGAGAAGGAAGAACTCGCCTCCCCCCCCCCTTCCTGGAAACCAGAAACTTTCTATTTCTTCTGGATGGCATCACATTCTCCTCAGACTTTTTCCTGGTGGAGGCTCATGCCTTTGTGTCAGGACGGAAAACATAGGAGAAAAAGTGCTATTAGCTCCAGGTGCTAGATTTTCTAGCTATGGCCCAGACCCATACCTGCAATAATGACACCATACAAGTTGTTCACACTCACACGAGTATACAAGGACAGGACAAAACCGACACAGACAGGAATGTCCTGTCCCTGTCACAGACAGAAAAGGGGGTGAGAAATAAAGGGGGTCAGGAATGGTGACATCTCTTCAGCAGGCCTTAGGATCTGGTATTGATCTGTCTGAATAACTCCAGGAAAATGGTTGGTTATTCCATTTTTTCCCCTTGTCCCTCCTGTTGTGTGTTGTTTTTCCCCCATTGTCACTAGCCAGAATATCATGCACAATCCAAGCCAGAGAAAGAAGGACTTTTTGAGGCAATGACAGGCAATTCATAATACATCTGAACAGAACAAGTTGGACTCCTTTGTATTTCAACCAGATAATTGAAAATGAATGACATCACTAGAACCACATTATTTCAAGACTGTATCTCTTCTCATTATTCATAAAGGTAGAATGCTATGCATGCAAACAAGGCTATTACGGGTGCTTTTTATTTATTCATTTTATTCCATTTTAAAATGCTTCATGTCTAGACATTGACAAACCTACTTAAAATGTTATACTGCCCCTGAACTCTACTCACCAAAATCAATATTATATGCTGTTCCAGCTAGTAAAGAACAATTGGTTGTTTCCAAAAAAAACCACCAAAGTAGAATGAGTACTGGGTGATCAAAGGGTAATCTAGGCACTGAAAAGTGCAGGCATTATTGCAAGAAATGCCTGCCACATTTCAAAATCTTACGCAGATGTTTATAATTAGTTGTTGCCATTTTAGAACCCAAACTTTGATCCTTCAAAGCTTTAATAAAGACATCACATCTCTTAATAAAATCAGCAAAAATCATGAAAATGCCACTGATATTTCAATATGATTGACAACTGTATGCTGTGCACTTTCAAAAGGATACAACCTTCTCAATTGTGCAACACCAGACTTCATTTGGCGAATGTAAGCATATTTAAGAGAGGAAAAACCCTTACTTGTCATCTAATAGGTAGAATGAAATCATATGTGGAAAAAGACATCACAGCAGTTGACTTAACCCTTGACCTATACCATTTCTCAGCCTACCCCATCACTCTACATTAGTTCTGGTTGGACTCAGAGATCTAGAACCTGATCAGGTTCACTCTAATATCGGAAAGGAGACAACAGGATAATTATTTTTCTCACCACAAGATAGTAGGGTGGTTGCCTATTTTTTGTTTCAGAGAGGTTTTGCACATTTCAAAGACTAATTTCTGTGCATTTTCTAAAAACGAACAAGACTTAAAACTGTTAATGATTTCCTTGGCGCTTGGATCATTAAAATGTAGTTGTTGTTTGCATCTTTTTGATCCATCATCTTGTTCTTTTACGGTTGCTAGTTTTGTTACACAGACATTTTGCACAAAGGGCTACACATCAAGAGGAACACATGGAATCTTAGTCTTGCACTGGGGGTGAAATCCATCGGAGAGCTTGGAAAATCCTTGACCAACTTTCTCATCGTGCTGAGAAGCTTGGCTTGATCAAATTCTTATGAAGCTCCCCCCTCCCATTCTGCATTGTCCATAGAGGCCTTGAAAAAAATGCCAGTCTTGGATTTTTTTAACTTGATATCCATATTTAAGTCCTTCATGTAGTGAATGTTCAACTGTTAACAAAATAATTAAGGCCATAATCCAGCCAAAAAGAAAAACAAAGTATGGTTTATTGCAAAAAATGGTTGGATCGGGAGCACTCACCAATGGGCCAACTATACACATCCTCGCTGAATATGAAGTTATAAGATTATTTCCTTCAATTAACCTGCTTTTTCATTGCTACAGATTAGCAGCATGAGTATGTGCTTGTTTCAGGACCCAAGAAAGGAAAGGAAACATATGTCTTACGATAAGTCTTGAGCATTTCATGAGATACTGAAAATAGATATCTTGAGTAGATGGTTTGAAGACTTGGATATCCAGTCCTCACAGCAGAAGAATGGAACAGGGCAAAGCTGGAAATCAGGCAATTTGTTTACTGCAATATGTTCAGAAACAAGAATGTAAGGGTGTTTCCCAACTAGGAAAAATACAAAAAGTCCAGCTGATGATGTCTTTAATTTGCACCCCACATTTTCCCACTGTTTTTTCCCACCTTCCCCCCCCCCCCCATCGCTTATTAAAATGACAGAATAGCTGCAATAGTTTTTAACTGTCAGTAGTTGTTTGGAATCACCCTCGAAGTCAGATAATTCCACTGCCATGATTTCTGTTAAAAGATTCAAAACATTTTCGCTGGGATCCCACCGCAAGAACAGGTTTTGTTAGCTAGCTCTACTGCAATCCGTTATATGGCAGATCACTGCAGTATTCACTACAGCATGTCTCTCTCCTCTGTCCACTCCATGGGCAGCTGAAGAGTCCCATGCATGAATACCTCCCCAATAGATTTCTTTCCCCATCTTTTTGTAATTTGGCCCCTGGGGGAAAAAAAGTTCCACACTCATTCAGTCCAATTGCAATGCCTTGCATTTTCCCCTTTTCAAATAGCTGCGCACAATTGATCGTGATTAAAAGCAACCTACTTTAACTCCCTTTTATCTGCTTTCTCCCGTGCACTTAGATAGCTGGTCCTTGTTTCTTTCTGCAGTTTGCCCTGAACCTTAGCCCATCTCTTCTCC